ATCATGACACTCCAATGGCAATGTACGAGACTCCATTAGCAGATAAATTTTTAGCCTTTTTAAATATAAAAAGCTATAGTATTGAATGGATTATAGATCTGAGATGGGTATTTCAAACCAGGTAATGCTAGAATGAGATGGACAATATAAATGAAAATCATCCAGATGTTTTATGTACAGCAAAGAAACTGGGTATAATGGTATACCTGATGAAGTCAAAATCAAAACTGAAAAATGATATGTAATTTAAACCCTACTTCCTTTGAAAGCTTCCCTCAGATTGAAGCTACTCCTGTGTTTGACAATGATGGGAGCCATCCTATTTTACACAATTCATACAGAATTAGAATTGAGCATGAAGTGATGTCTTTCTATGACAGCTCAGGTTATGGTCATTACCCAAGAGAACATATGACCCCAGTTTTTAATTGGGAAATACCATAATTGCTAAATAAATTCCATCTAAATTTTATGTTCTGGTAAGCACAAGATTTGAACTATTCTGTTTCTCAACTGGCCTGTCTCCCCACCTGCAGGACAGACACCTCACTCAGATACCTGGTATTAACACAAGCAGTGAAAATACTGTGATTAAGCTTATGTGTTCTTCAATCATGAAGGTCTCATTAAAGCAACTGAATACTTCATGCTTTGTACTTGTTACATTTAAATGGAATTCTATTTTCTTCGTCGTTTGTTCCTCCCCTTTGCTGTATGGATCAGTAGACAGTTGTTTCTCAATGTGTGCAGCACAGACAGGATAGAATGCCATAAGCACTGGTCTTTTCTTTGGGAGTTAATCTGAGAAGGGTGATCATGATACATCTCTGGGAACAGTCTGGGATCTCATTCCTGGGAGAAGCCCAAGCATTTCTGATACTTAAGCTTTGCAGTGTTGTCCTACGAGATGCAAAGACCAACTCTACTTTGTCTGTAGTGACTCCACTACCATGAAGACACTTTGGTTGTGTCTGGGTAATGAAACCTGGAAAGTCAAAGGCAAAGGCTGTTCATCATTACTAGGACCATTCTAAAGCAATCTGAACTGAGCCAAAACTTGAGGTGGAATTTGGCCCCCATTCATGTGTTTTCTGCTATTTCTACATGACAATGTGAACTTGTTACTGACATGGAGAAATATACATAAGGCATGCCTTAAGCATGTATAGTAGCACTGAAGAAATACTTTTAAACAACCTCTCTATATGGATTAATTTACAAGAGCAGATATGATTTAAAATACTTTTTTTCAGGAAGAACTTCAAGGACCTGGAGGGATTCAAAGTAGAGGCTACTTTTTCTACAGGGTATGGTTTCTTTGACTTTTTTTCTTTTCATTTCATGATGAATGTTACAAACCGAAAAGTGGAGAACCCAGGAAATTATCATAAGAATTACTGAGACTGAGGAAACTTTCTTCGGTAAGAGCATCCCACCATATAGGACTACTCGAGATCTGCTCCAGACATTTTCTTTGATTAAAATAAAGGCATAGTAGGAAGTTTTTGTACAAATCTTAATGACTGTATATACATGATATCATGCTATGTCTTAAAAGTCATTGGTTATTATGTATATAATTCTCAGAGGAAGTTATATAAAATATGCCATCTTGGACAATCCTTCTAAAGCATTGTTCAATATGGTACGTTTGCATGTGATACAAATACAATGCCATGCTCACATACTGGACCAAAACAGATACTGGGCCTGATCTTCCTGTTTTCCTTGTGTTTTGACCAGTATGATTAGAAACAGAAATTCTTATGAGAATGAACTACTCTGTTCATCTTTGATGCCATAGAGCCTTGTAACTCCATTTTTGCAAAATTGAGCAAGTTAAAGATGGCAAGTCAAACTTAATAATAATTCTCTTGATTTTGGTTAATCTTTTTTTTCTATTTAAATAAGAAAGTGGCTAATGAAAAGAAGGCAAGTTTGTACAGTTATATTTCTTATGTATCAGGATTGGACCTTTAGAGTTCTTATGACAGGCCAAAGTTATGGGTAATATTAACATTGATGCATTCATGATGCCAGAGTGAAAAGCAAATTCTTATTAAGCTCAGCAAGAGATTTTTTATCAGCTTTAGTAGACATTGTATCAAGTTCCTTTGTAGTGCAAAATATTTCTGAAATGACCATGGTGAAAAGGGAGAACCTCCTTGCTTATGTTAAAGAACACAGTCTAAAACCAAAAATATTGAGTGACATATATTTCTTTGTTAATTACAACAAATACTTATAATGCAATAACAACAACAATCTGGAAGCACATCTTAAGAAAATGAAAAACAAATGAAGGATAATTGTCTCTTAGAGTGACTTCTTGTGGCTTTCTCCCCCTTATAAAATCATACAAGATGGGCATAATTCAATTTTCAGTCTGTATACAGTAATTTTTGCTGTGTAATTCTCCTTCAGAGGTGGATATACATTAAACAATAACTGGTCTCAGGTTTATCTTTACTGATGATGATGTTGACAGAGCTGAGAAATTTCCCAATTTCTATAGCCACCAAGCTGGGTGGGGCTTTGTTACTGAAACCAGTTGGTTTTATAGAGCGCTTATTGGATATTTGTCTTTCAGCCACGCAATGGAAGGAGATCAGTGGATTTTCGCTAAGGAGGTATTTATTTAATGCTTTTAATCACAATCTATATTTAAATTAGGGGTTTTTTTATACAAATAGGACACAATATTTATGTTGAGGAGTAGTCTCAGAAAACCTTTAACTGTTTTGTCAACTTAGATTTCTGCAGACAAGCTTCTCAGAGATGTGCTAAATTCATGGATCTTCAGGTGAAGTGAATAGAAGCTGCAGGTACTCAGTTCCTAGAACTGAGAACTCAGAGCTGTTTCAGGCAGCAAGAAATGGAAAATATCCCAGAAGTGTAAACAGTTTAGAAAGTTTACAATGATTATAAGTGTATGTCAGGAAGAACAGATTCAACTACTTGTCAAATACATACTGACATCCTGGGGGTAATCCCTCTGTTCTTACACAGAAAAGAAACTCACTCTGAAAGTAAGTACAGACTTCAGGATTTAATTTCAAATAATTCAATTCTTTGGAGAGATACAGAAAAGTTTCCCTATGCCAATATTATAATGCTCTGTTTTCTAATAAATATTACATCTCTATCATATTTTAAGTATTTAGTGTTGTATCGTACCAACAAATAAAAGTTTTTCTTATTTTTCAGGATTTTAGATTCCTGACCTAGAACTAATGCTGCAGGAAT